CTTTTGCTTTCGTGGGGAGTGATTTTTCGTGTGCAAATTTGGGACTAGTCCCTCTAGGATTTTCCAAGTGTATATTATCGTGTATCTTTCTCGCCTGCGTTCCAGGGAATACACATCAAGGGAATTCAACCGTTCCCAGTCGTTTAGGTACTTTATCGTATTTATGTGTGCCGTGAAAATTCTTTTTACATTCTCCAGGTCTTCGATTTCGCCTGCCTTGAAAGGGGCCGTTAGTGTACAGCAATATTCCCACCTAGAGAGAACAAACAATATGGAAAGAACCATCGTGGGCTTGGCATCCCTAATTTTGAAGGTTCTCATTATCCATCCTGTCATTTTCTTAGAAGATGTGATAGAAACATTTTTATTTTGAAAGTGAGATCCTCTGATATTATCACTCCCAGGTCTTTCACATTAGTGTTTCTTTCAATTGTGTGGTTGGAATTTGTTTAATACTCCGATACGGTTTTAATTTCCTCGAGTTTTCCATATCGGAATAATTTAAATTCCTCTTCGTTGACCTTCATGTTGTTTTCCGCGGCCCATTTGAAGATTTGGTTCATGTCCACTTGGAGTCTTTCTGTGTCTTCGATAGATGACACCGTCATGCGAATTCGGGTGTCATCCACAAAGGAAGACATGGTGTTGTGGCTTATATCTCTGTCTATGTCAGAAATGAGGATCAGGAACAGGTTGAGGGCATGTACAGTGCCTTGTGGTACAGAACTTTTCGCTGTAGCCGCCTCAGACTTTACTGTTTCTTCGTGTACTAATTAAAAAAAACAGATATAATTTAAAAAACATCCTGGCACAGATTAAACATTCCCAGAACTACACGATGTCATAACCCGAGATGTAAAACATCCCACTACGACTCGAGCCAAGCACCACCCTAACATTGTTTATTGTACACAACGATGGAACGCCATGTGACTTCCAGTCGATATAGAAACATATCTCATTACATTACTGATGCACAATACCGACAAAATGAGGAGTTTAATACAAGTGCAACACCTTGGTAACTTTATTTAAAGTGATTTGCCAAACAGAGGCTTTAAGTACTGATGATATATGAAGAGAGAAAATGACATAATTAGTCCCTCAGCCTTGAAGAACTATACACAGAAGAGGTAATTAGTCCCTCAGCCTTGAAGAACTATACACAGAAGAGGTAATTAGTTTCTCAGTCTAGAAGCTATTGTTCATTACCCCAGTTTTGATAAATCTGAAGCTTAAGCAGGAATATGGACTCTGTAATACTGGAATCAGCGGAGATGTAGCATCTATTAGTGCAGTAAATATCTTCTACAACCTATTTGTTAAACTCCCTTGGGCATGGCCCTTCTGTGACGACGACTACATCTGCTGCTCCTCATCTGACTCCAGTATATGAGAGGTGTGTTAAAATATTACCAGCCGATGTCCTTGTATAATGTCGATATTATATACCATTTTCAAAAGCGTACTTAGGTTGTTGCTATACTCAAGGCACCTTGATTTTGTTTGTGACCTGTGTACAGATGATCCGTACTTCACGGCATTTATGGTTTTGTTGTCCTCTTCACCATCATCATAGAGGCATGATTCTGTTCATGGTTCAAGGATAAAGGTCCTCACTGATGGATCAGAGAAGATGGGGAGAGGAGGATTTGACTTTGCTGTGATTACTGGTTATGCACAGCTGTCAAGGGTCTTCTGTGTTCACTGCAGAGCAACAGGCAATCATTGCTTCTCTTATCCTGATAGCCGGCTTAATTGGTTCTCGATTCACTGTGTACCCAGATTCCCACGGGGTTCTGGCTGTCCTGGCCCAGTATCCTTCTGTCAACCCTGTGGTCTAAAAGATCCAGGAGTGGTTAACTCGTCTCTACATGTAGCACTAGGAGGATGTGACACTGTTGATGCCTGGGCAGTGTTGGTGTACCGGGAAATGAATGGGCGGATGCTGAAGTAAAGGCTGCAGTAATGAGCTCACTCTGTAATGGGCTTTTGCATTACAGTGACTTCATGGGCTAATATCCACAGATATGTTATTTATTCTCGGTAACTGGCAGGCCTGGTGGGCCATACAGGCTGGCCGCAAGTTATACAGGGTTTAGTAAGACATGGGTGTCTGACCCTCCTTTTTCAACAGGAATCGTCACTTGGAAACAGATCTATTGATTGAGGATTGGGCTCACACTTCTGACTCAAAGCCACCTGTTCACAGGTGCTTCTGCCCCACTCTCTGTGGTTTGTGGCATGCTGTTGTGATACGCATTCTAACAGTGTGCCTGTGTCTTAGGCCACAGGCAAACTGGGGTGCTTGTAGGGAAGTCTCAGAACTTTTCGGGGAGTTTTCCTACACGTGGCATATCCTTGACCCTGGCATTGATATTTTTTGTATTTGTCGAGTCCTGTTTTGGTCATGTCTTGTACTGTTTTGACTCCGAGGACTGCTGTATTTTTACTACTTTTTTAAGTGCTTTTGTGACTACTTCAGCCAAGTTTCCTGCAGGAAAAATGAGACACTTATCGGAATTCTGTGGTCTGTCGTGAAGAGTTCATTTATATCTCTGCATTTCGTTTTCTTGTCATGATGGGAAAATAAACTTAAGATGATTAAATAACAAAAAAGGCACAATACCGTGACTGGAACGATACACAAATAACCCGCACATAAAAGAGAGAAGCTTACGACGACGTTTCGGTCCGACTTGGACCATTGACAAAGTCACACTAACCAGAGGTGGAGCAGGACGGCTATATATAGGCAGGAAGAGGTGGTGGTAGTAGTAGTAGTAGTAGTACAAGAGTTGTATATAATACCGACAAGATGAAATTAAGACACATGCACAACACCCGGGCATCCCCATCATAGACGTTTCGCCATCCAGCCAGCCACTGGATGGCGAAACGTCCACAACAAAGACAACCAGACGCCGCACATGTGTCTTAGTTGTAGTAGTAGTAGAAGAAGAAGAGATAGTAGTAGTGGTAGTGGTAGAAGTGGGAAATAAGGAGGACGAGCCAGTCAAATACAAAGGAAGGGGAGCACTGCAAGAGAGCTAGATGCCCACAGAGGGAGAGCAAGCGCACAGAGGTGCGTGAAAGGGGAAGTGGTGAAATAAATGAAGAAGGAACAGAAACACGAGACAGGAGAGAGAAAAGAGAAAGACAACCCAGAGGAGAAAAGGAAAGAGGAAAGGGGAAGAGGAAGAAGAAGAAAAAGAAAAAGAAAAAATGAGGATTCAGGTTAAGTCACGGGTGTTCTGAAGTTTGGAGCATTTTACAATGTAGTGGGAGAGGAAGGCATCTACAGAGACGAAGCCAGGGCTAAGGTTCATACAAGGAAAGTTGTGTATTAGAGAGGATTCAACTAGACGGCGACTGTTCGAGTTGGAAGTAGGGAAGACAGTTTTAGCAGAAGACCGGTCAATAGGATGGCTATGATCTCTGACGTGACAGAAAAGAGCATTGTTAGTGTCGGCAAGCCTAACACTATTTTTGTGCTCCCTAAGTCTGTCAGAAAGAGATCGACCAGTTTCTCCGAAGTATTGAAGAGGACAGAAGCAAGAAATAGAGTAGACACCAGGAACATTTGTAGAGGGAGGAGAGGTATGAACGAGATTAGTGCGAAGAGTGTTAGTCTGGCGGAAGGTAAGCTTGATGTCTAAGGGACGGAGAGAATTGTTGAGATTAGAAAGACCGGAAATGTAGGGAAGGCAGAGGATAGAAGAGTTCTCATGAGTAGAGAGTTTGGGAGAGAAGAAATTGCGTTTAGCACGTGAGAGGGCAGAGTCTATGAAATGGGAAGGGTAGCCAAGACGGGAGAACGAATTATGAAGAGTGGAAATTTCTGCTGGAAGGAACTGAGGATCACAGATGCGGAGGGCACGGAGAAAGAGGGAGATAAGAACACTTTTCTTGACAGGGAAAGCATGATAGGAGAAGTAGTGAATGTACATGCCACTGTGCATAGGTTTACGGTAAACGGAAAAGGAAAAACTTGTATCTGAGCGGTGGACATGGACATCAAGGAAAGGAAGCAAGGAATTAGATTCCCATTCAGCTTTAAACTTAATGGAAGGGGCAAGATTATTAAGAGCTTCAAGAAAAGGTTGGAAGAGACTGGAGTCATGATTAAAGTACACTGGTGAATTTCCAGTGTAATTTAAGTTAATGTTCTGATTTGATAGTTTAAACGTCAGGAATGGAAGTGTGTTGTTTATTTCTTGTTTGACCATAAATTGCATTCATTATATAATTACACCATATTCTGACTATTTTGAAGCTTTTAATAATAAAACATCTTACTGTAATCACGTGGACATTATCACGAAACATAGCGAAGTGATAATTGAGGAAATGATTTTGGAGGAACGTGCAGCTTTAGAGACTCGTTATAAAGGTTGTCTACAACAGTAGTGTTTGCTGTTCCCATAGCCATGCCGAATTTTTAAGTGCGGTAAACGTTACTGAAAGAGAAGTATTTAGTTGATGTCATGAGAAACATTCACACCTTATTTCATGGAAGGACACCAAATCCATAAGAAAATATGATGACAGAACTAGAAGAAAGTGACTAAAAGGAGCAGTCATCTATACTTAAGATATTACAGGACAAAATCAAGGTTCCTTCAGCTTCTAGGCAAAATTCCTCAATACACGTTTTAAACAGCTTCCAGTAACATCCCATTACACTCCCTGCAGCTCAGATCTCATTAATTATCCAGGAACCTGACCAACGTATCCATTTTCCTTTGATTATTCACGGATCATTGGATTCATGATCAGATAATACCTCTGCCTACCACTATTAACATAACCTTCCCCTCCCTATGGATCTGACTCACACTCACTTCTCTATCACCTTCCAGGAACATTTATACGTGTTAAATGTTATTCTCTGTATGAGTTCAAAAATCTTTGCTTTGAGCGAAATGCTTTTAAATGTTCATATATTTTCAAAATGTTGGATGTAGCAGGAGGAATCATTATTTATAACATTACCTTACCTGTGATTAAAGCTTTTACATCATTTGGATTGTAGCTCAGTTGTGTCTAAACAAATTTAAAAAGAAAAATGTGTTGCAGGCGACCCGTGCAAGCGCTTCGGTAGTTATGTTGAGTGGTGTTGGAGGCGGTATGTACAAGCTTGCACAGTGTTGAGTGGCACTACTGGTCGTGTTCCCCAGCTGCTCCACTTAACCGCCACCACTCTGGTCATTGGCGGCCACTTAAGACCGCAGTAAAGTTGGTGCTCACTGGCACACCTCCCACAACATGTTGCCCTGCAACGAAATGAAATTATTTTCGTTTAGTAGTATTGATGAGGTCAGTGTGTTTAAGGAATCATACAAAACCTCTGGAATGAGATTCAATCAGATTAAATTATAAAGAGGTATAATTTGTTCAGATAGACAATATATACACTGTGAGCAGCTTTCAGCTATTTTGCATGAGTGGTTAACTACAGTCATTCAAAATACCCACAACTTCACGAGTGGTGTAAGAGATTCAAGTGCTCCACCACACACCAGTAGTGAGCTAGATGCTCCACCACACACCAGTAGTGAGCTAGATGCTCCACCACACACCAGTAGTGAGCTAGATGCTCCACCACACACCAGTAGTGAGCTAGATGCTCCACACACACCAGTAGTGAGCTAGATGCTCCACCACACACCAGTAGTGAGCTAGATGCTCCACCACACACCAGTAGTGAGCTAGGTGCTCCACCACACACCAGTAGTGAGCTAGATGCTCCACCACACACAAGTAGTGAGCTAGATGCTCCACCACACACCAGTAGTGAGCTAGATGCTCCACCACACACCAATAGTGAGATAGATGCTCCACCACACACCATTAGTGAGCTAGATGCTCCACCACACACCAGTAGTGAGCTAGATGCTCCACCACACACCAGTAGTGAGCTAGATGCTCCACCACACACCAGTAGTGAGCTAGATGCTCCACCACACACCAATAGTGAGCTAGATGCTCCACCACACACCATTAGTGAGCTAGATGCTCCACCACACACCAGTGGTGAGCTAGATACTCCACCACACACCAGTGGTGAACTAGGTGCTCCACCACACACCAGTAGTGAGCTAGATGCTCCACCACACACCAGTAGTGAGCTAGATGCTCCACCACACACCAGTGGTGAGCTAGATGCTCCACCACACACCACTGGTGAGCTAGGTGCTCCACCACACACCACTGGTGAGCTAGGTGCTCCACCACACACCAGTAGTGAGCTAGATGCTCCACCACACACCAGTGGTGAGCTAGATGCTCCACTACACACCAGTGGTGAGCTAGGTGCTCCACCACACACCAGTGGTGAGCTAGGTGCTCCACCACACACCAGTGGTAAACTAGGTGCTCCACCACACACCAGTGGTGAACTAGGTGCTCCACCACACACCAGTGGTGAGCTAGGTGCTCCACCACACACCAGTGGTGAGCTAGATGCTCCACCACACACCAGTAGTGAGCTAGATGCTCCACCACACACCAGTGGTGAGCTAGGTGCTCCACCACACACCAGTAGTGAGCTAGATGCTCCACCACACACCAGTGGTGAGCTAGATGCTCCACTACACACCAGTGGTGAGCTAGGTGCTCCACCACACACCAGTGGTGAGCTAGGTGCTCCACCACACACCAGTGGTAAACTAGGTGCTCCACCACACACCAGTGGTGAACTAGGTGTTCCACCACACACCAGTGGTGAGCTAGGTGCTCCACCACACACCAGTGGTGAGCTAGATGCTCCACCACACACCAGTAGTGAGCTAGATGCTCCACCACACACCAGTGGTGAGCTAGGTGCTCCACCACACACCAGTAGTGAGCTAGATGCTCCACCACACACCACTGGTGAGTTAGGTGCTCTACCACACACCACTGGTGAGCTAGGTGCTCCACCACACACCACTGGTGAGCTAGGTGCTCCACCACACACCAGTAGTGAGCTAGATGCTCCACCACACACCAGTGGTGAGCTAGATGCTCCACTACACACCAGTGGTGAGCTAGATGCTCCACTACACACCAGTGGTGAGCTAGGTGCTCCACCACACACCAGTGGTGAGCTAGGTGCTCCACCACACCAGTGGTGAACTAGGTGCTCCACCACACACCAGTGGTGAACTAGGTGCTCCACCACACACCAGTGGTGAGCTAGGTGCTCCACCACACACCAGTGGTGAGCTGGATGCTCCACCACACACCAGTAGTGAGCTAGATGCTGCACCACACACCAGTGGTGAGTTAGGTGCTCCACCACACACCAGTAGTGAGCTAGATGCTCCACCACACACCACTGGTGAGTTAGGTGCTCTACCACACACCACTGGTGAGCTAGATGCTCTACCACACACCACTGGTGAGTTAGGTGCTCCACCACACACCAATGGTGAACTAGGTGCTCCACCACACACCAGTGGTGAACTAGGTGCTTCACCACACACCAGTGGTGAACTAGGTGCTCCACCACACACCAGTGGTGAACTAGGTGCTCCACCACACACCAGTGGTGAGCTAGGTGCTCCACCACACACCACTGGTGAGTTAGGTGCTCCACCACACACCACTGGTGAGCTAGATGCTCCACCACACACCAATGGTGAACTAGGTGCTCTACCACACTCCAGTGCTGAACTAGGTGCTCCACCACACACCAGTGGTGAACTTAGGTGCTCCATCATACCAGTGCTGAACTAGGTGCTCCACCACACACCAGTGGTGGTGGTGAGCTAGATGCTCCACCACACACCAGTGGTGAGCTAGATGCTCCACCACACACCAGTGGTGAGCTAGGTGTTCCACCACACACCAGTGCTGAACTAGGTGCTCCACCACACACCAGTGGTGAACTAGGTGCTCCACCACACACCAGTGGTGAGCTAAGTGCTCCACCACACACCAGTGGTGAAGCAATCCCAGTGCTGTACCCCACTAAATCTATGATCTTATGTGAAAGACAACTAAATAATCATTTACACAGTTTATAAACTCATGATAAGCTACTGAGTGAAGTCATATGAACAATACCAGTGTCACCTGATATCGATTATCACTGATAATTATCACGAATTAAATTAACAACATTAAGAATTTTTTCGCAGGATATTATGAATTATTAATATAAGCGCTTTGGATTTCAGATTAAATTATGTTAGATACGTGTCTTGGAAATCATGAGACCTCTGGACAAATTGGCCACTGAGAAGCTCGAAACCCTTAGTTATATATCCTTAAGGGAATAAGGGTATCCCCAAACTCCTTCAATCAATAGCGAACCTCCAGCACTCTCTTGAAGGGATCTGTGATCGTAAACAAGGCTTTTGTTTTCGTGTTGCCGTGGAGGTAGAGCCCGCGAGAGGACGATAAGACTCTGCGGGGTAATGGTATTTTTTTTTTTTTAATTGAGTAGCGTACGTTCTACGAAGATGAATATAATGATGTTGGTAGAATTACCGACAATATTAGGTGAATGGACACATGTAGAACTAGTGCGATATTTTATTCTGGCAACGTTTCGCTCTAGGAGTGAAACACTCACGGTAAAATAAACTTGACAGAAGTTCCTGGAGAGCTAAACTTTGCCACAATAAAATGCCGCACTAGTTGCACGTGTGCCCATTTACCTAACATGAAGATAAATGATAGTGTTCAAGGTACAATGAAGTGAAAAGCGAAGTTATTCTGGACCATATTATGCTAATATAAAGACTTCAAGCAGAGCAAGCCTTTGCTTGGGCAATGTTTCGCTCCAATGTGAGCTTGAGAAAGCTCACCTTCGAGCTCACCATTGAGGAGAACATTGTGTAAATAAAGGTTTCTTTTGCCATGGAATGTCGGCATTTTTGCCCTCCAAGTTGCAACCTTCGAGGAATGTATTATGCTCGAGGATCAAAGGTTGACGAGAAGGATTTTTTTATATGTAGATGGTTTTGCAGGAGAGACTTGCATATTTTTTATTTTGCGATACTAGAACAAGAGGAGAGTAGTAAACAATATAAATGGCGTCAGATAAAATATAAGGAAAAACGAATAAATTAAAGAAAAAAATTTAGTGATTGATTATTCACGTGAGGAAAAAACGATGGGTAGAGTGAGATAAATATCGAGTGTTACTATTGTATTCATGGGGAGTGTTAATCCCATAGGGATTATGCAGTACCTGGTAAGAGGAGATAATCAACTTGGATCTCAGGTTGAGAAGTGAAAGTTAAGAATCCTTAGATTAAGAGTCGCCCTTCACCAGCCTCAGGTCCAGTGCCTTGAAGGAAAATTTATGACCGTGGTGTCTAAAGCGTATATGTTGATACAAGAACAACCTTGTATGTGCAGTAAACCCCGGTAACATGATGCTGACACGTCCTCCTCAAATCTAAACCATCTCACCAGCAGCAGCAGCAGCTGCTGCTGCTGGTGCCGCTGCCGCTGCCGCCGCCGCCGCTGCCGCCGCCCCTGCCATCGCCGCCAACAACGCCACTCCCCCCTCCCCCTCCCCCCTTCTCAATGCTGTTCACCTGACTCTTGCTACTATATATTCTCGTTCCTGGCTATCTCTGTTCTTAATCTAAGGAATTGGATCTGTGCTCCAATTCCTTGAATCGAATCGGAATGCTTGCCATTCCCCAGGCGCTGTATGACCACTACAGGGTTAGTGCTGCCCCATTAATGTAAAAAATATATGCAGCAAAGGAGTGTGATTACAGGAAGAAAGATAAAGAAATGAAGAGGAATAACTGGAATAGGAAGTGATAATAATAAAACAGAAAAATGAAATACGAGAGTATATGCAGAGGACAATTAAAAGCGTTAAAGTAATAAGAAATAAGAGAAAATGGAAGAATGTTACAAGAAAATCATACAGGGAATAAAAATTTTAGATTGAGAAATAAGATGAAATATGTGATCAACCCAAGTGATGATATTAGGACCGTCATTTTCCTTGTTTCTGAGTTAAAGATTCTTGCCATTTTTAATCTTTTGTATACTGAACTTACATCTCGTCAAATACAGCTGCGAGGCAATATGGCTTGTATACTTTTTTCTTGCTACTGATGCTTCAGTTGTTTGAACTTTCCTGTTCCTCTTTCGTACTCTCCCGAGTACGTCGGTGCTGCTTACCGCCCCCTTTCAGTTAATCCTAGAAAATGTAAAATTATCGTTGAAGAATGAGGCACTTGTGCAGCATTTGGGAATACTTACTGCATAAACGTTTCTCCAGTCAGTGGCTTCTTCAGTCCAATACAGAGAAGCAGAA